ACAGCTAAACCTATATGATCATGAGTACATATTTTATACAACCCACATTAAACAGGGAGTGTTTTATTTCTGTGTACATTACCCTCTGATGAAGAATAATAATATTAATAAATGGTTTCTGTTGATTTCCCCAGAAAACAAATGGAAGTAAATAAGCTTGATTGTTTGATTGTAAACAATCCCACAAATTTGTCGTCAAATTAATGTAAAACTCACTTAAGAACATCGGTGATTGAGTTAATAGCCCATTCAACTTATCATCCTATAAACTCTACATCTTTTGAACAATAGAAAGATAGAAATTGTGAAAAATAACCTGAGAACAAGTTACAGGGATTAAAAACTCTTTAGTTTGGTCAGCAAACATTATTTATACAGTCTGCTTTCTCATTACTGCCAACAATCATTTGTTATTTGTCCAAGTGTAGGATTGTATCACTCTTACTACACCTAAAGTTGGACTTCATTGATAAATTTAAGAATCCAATTGAAAACCAGCGGCTGCCAGGCAGGATACGCCCACATTTTCGAGAGATGGATAGAAAACAAGCTTAAAACGAAAGTGATTTTTCCTACAATCAAGGGCCATAATTCAGGAAATTACAATTTGATATGCGCAAATATCAAAAGGAACCAAGATCTTTGAGTTATAAACTTACATTTCAAGTTGCAACAAAATCGGATAAAATTGTGACCTCTAAAGGGTCCACCATCTTGATATACCGTCCTTAGGGTTTAATGGTGATATAATAATACAGTTTTTTAAATCGGATAAAAATTATGACCTCTATAGGGTCCACAAGCCAAAAAACGTGTTTTTACGTACAATCAGGGGCCATAATTCAGGAAGTTATTGTCCGATATGCGTGAATATCGAAAGGAACCGAGATCTTTGGGTTATAAACTTACATTTCAAGTTTCAACAAAATCGGATAAAAATTGTGACCTCTACAGTGTTCGTACAATCAGGGGCCATAATCCATGAAGTTACGGTCCGATAGATGCCAACATTGAAAGGAACCGAGATCTTAGGGTGATAAACCTATATTTCAAGTTTCATTGAAATTTGATAAAAATTGTAACCTATAGACTGTTCACAAACAATTGTGGACGGACGGACGGACAGGGGCGACGACAATATACGTCCATATGAAAATGTGGGCGTATAAAAATTGGTTGCCAGGCAATGAAACATATGCCCACAGCAGCTAAATCTTTTGTAGATAATTAGGGGGCACAATGTTCTACAAAATGAATCAAGAGCCTTAACGAATTTACAGAAATTGTTAAAATTTGACGGGCTTTTCGTTTTACTAATTTAAATAACGCATATAAATTTCATACAGATCGGATGATAACTTTCATCATTCGAGCATTCACAAGGTTCAAAAAAGGGAAACAAGGGCCATAAATCTTGAAGTAATCATTGGAAATTGCTAAAATTCAATAGAATTCTTTGTTTCTTTAATTTAAATGATGCATATAGACTTCGTACAGATCAGATGATAACTTTCATCATTTGAGTGTTCACAAAGTTCAACAAAGTTAAACAAGGGCGATAACTCTATAAGTAATTATTGGAAATTGCTGAAATTCAATAGGATTCTTTGTGTCACTAATTTAAATGATGTGTATAAATTTCATACAGATCGGAAATTGCTGAAATTCAATAGAATTCTTCATTTTATTTAAATTTCATACAGATCAGATGATAACTTTTGTCATTTGAGCATTCATAAGGTTCAACTAAGTGCAACAAGAGTCATAACTCTAGAAGAAATTAACAGAAATTGCTGAAATTCAATAGTCTTCTTCGTTGCACTAATCTAAATGATGCATATAAATTTCCTACAGATCAGATGATAACTTTTGTCGTTAGGATGTTCACAAGGGCCATAACTCTAGACATAATTAACGGAAATTGCTGAAATTCAATAGGTTTCTTCGTTTCATGCTAATTAACATGCTGCATATTAATTTCATACCGATCGGATTATAACTTTTGTCGCTAGAGCATTCACAAGGTTCAACAAAGTGTAACAAGGCCCATAACTCCATAGAAATTTACAGAAATAATTGAAATTAAATAGGATTCTTCATCTCACTGATGTAAACAACATATATCAATTTCAAAACAATCAGATGATAAATGTAGTCTGTAGAGTGTTCACAAGACGGTGTGGACGATGGACAGGGATGACAGAAATATACATACATGTATACAACCACATTTCCATGTGGGTGTGTAAAAAAAATCAAGAAAGAGGCTTTTGTCTACTAAATACAAACTAGATTGGTTTGGGACTGAGATATGGTATTTCAGTAATTCACTTGAAAACAGATATCTTTAGCAGTAGAAATGGAATGAGGTGTAATGTCTCATCAACAAAATCATTTAAAATCAATAGGCATTTTTTCACAAAGTCTTTCTTAAATGAAATAAATAACTGTATTTTTTATCTGTCTATTCACTACAAATCTATTTGTTCTATTCGCTACAAATCTATTTGTTTTATTCACTATAAATCTATTTCTTCTATTCAATTTATATTGACTTTAAAAATGTTTATTTAAATGTAATGACTGTTTAACATTCTACTGTTCTACACTAACTGAGCTTTATGCATATGCTATGAGGGAAATTTTACCCAGACAGCGGTGTTACCATCTAATCTTCATAGGATTCCAGCTGCCAGGCGTTCTTTTTCGTGTACGCCAAACAATCTATCCATATGACTAGAGGATGTCCCTGCCAGCACTATATATTCACTGAGCCACTGTGGCTCCTAAATATGTCTATTCACTATAAATCTGTGTATTCTAGCTTCAAGTTTTAATATTTTTTAAATTCTTTTTAAAGTTTGGCTATTAACAGACCAATATTTTACATAAATAATGGAAATGTCAGTATATTCGCTAGGATTCAAAAATAGATTTTTTAGACTTATTGAGTTACATTAACATAAAAAAGGAATACAAAAGTTTTGGGGTCTTTTTTAGACACCCTTTTCTAATCCCGGTGTTGGCCAAGAAAGTTAATTGGGATTTTCCTGTGTGCTTCCCCATTGTCAGTTGTGCAAGATAGAGGGCCTTTCAATGGATAACATATAGTTGTTCGGATAGTATGAAGATAGGTTGACAGGCAACGAAACATACGCCCCCGGCAGCTAAATCGTTCGGGCAGTCAACAAGTGTTGTCGCATATTTTTACTTTTTTGGGTAATGAAACATTTATAATACACTAAAATCTGATTAAGAGTAACAACTCATGAAGTAATTATCAATCTGAAGTCAATCGGATGATAACTTTAGCCTCTAGAGCGTCACAAGATTCTTTGTCTCATGACCTCAAACACTGTGTATAAATTTAAAGTCAATCGGATATTAACTTTAGCCTCTAGAGCATCCACAAGATTTTTTGAAGTGATCGAGGGCAGTAATTATCGGAACTCGCTGAAAATCAATAGGCTTCTTCGTCTCATGACCTTAGATTTTTTGAAGGGATCAAGGGCCATAACTCTGGAAGTAATTATTGAAAATCGCTGAAGATGAATAGACTTCTTCATCTCATGTCCTTAAACACTGTGTATAAATTTAAATCGGATATTAACTTTAGCCTACAAGATTTTATTAAGTGATCAAGGGCCATAACTATGGCAGTAATCATAGGAAATCGCTGAAAATCAATAGGCTTCTTCGTCTCATGGCCATAACTCTGACAGTAATAATCGAAAATCGCTGAAAATCAATAGGCTTCAATGTGGGCGTAGAAAAAACCAAGGTCTTTTGTACACATTGGCATGCATGTAAAAGAGCCCTTGACATTTGAAATTCAATATAAGAGGAGGCTGTAGTGCCGTTGTCCATGAAAAGTTTCTCTCATTGCATACTGTATGGCATAAATTTGTCTTCATTAGCCCAGACGGTGCAGAACAGTAAGACATTAAACCTCATTTTAATTCTATATAAAATCTCATATGCGATCATGTACAAATATGATACTTATTTGAGTATAAAGTAAAACGCCCAAGGTCTGGTAAAGGTTTATGTGTGGGGCTGTGCTGTGGGGTGCTATATGGCGTACATGTATATAATGATATCTACTGTGTTGTATAAAGATGACATGGGCACTACATATTGACATCTTTTATGGTACGGTACAAACATGGGGGGAACAAGCCGTTGTATCGATTCAGGAAACACATATTTTGTTTACCTAAGGTTCAAGCTCTACAAGAAAGCAACCATGTCATGATGGCCATAAACCTTCCTATCTGCAGTGAACTAAAATAAAGTAGAGTGGGGTTAACAGTCTTGCCATAACAATAATTAGGTCATTTTAAGACTAACATGACTAATATTTATTTCACCACAATTTTGTCCCATCTGAATGACAAAAGACATTTTAATTGACAGCCCCACATGTGCCACCCACAAGAAGTAGGAACCAGGCTTCAAAAATCCCAAATGTTCTTCTATGTTTCAAACCCAGGGCATTCTAGTTGTGAGGCTTTTGTCTGCACCACACAATCACTGCAGTCACAAACCACAATACAAAACTTAAGGAAATACCTGTAGAAAAGGCCCCATGAAAGGTACAGTAGTCGAACGTTAAAACCCATTTCATTTCATTTCATGTAGCCATTTCATGACGACCTTAAAACTTGTTCTTGGTGAACCACAAGTCGTTGATAATTCATGAGATTATTATAATGATTATAATCTGTCCTTAGCTGGCTTAATGACTCTTATTGTTACCTTACAGTTTTTATTGTTTTGTATTCAATGTAAATTCTAGGTCACAGGTCAAATTTCATTACTGTATTATAAATGTCAAGAACTTTACAACATTTAGAAATATACAAATTCAATTCAATTTGGCTGCTCTTTCTAAATGCTGTCTTATTTTTTAAAACAGATATGGGTAGGGCCTTTGGCGATGATGAGGATAAGGATGATGTAATTGAACAGAAAAATAACATATCAAAGAGTCAACTTACCATTATCTTTTCTTCATCTTCACTGGTTTCTATACTAACATCAGATGTTTCTATGACAACCTCTGATGTCTCCACAGAAACATCTGCAGTTTCCATAGCAAACTCTGATGTTCCCATGCCTACATCAATACCCTCTTTGACAACTTCTGATGTTTCTGTACATGCATCAATACTCTCATTGAACACTTCCAATGTTTCAGTGCAAACATCACTACTCTCTTTGACAACTTCTGATGTTCCTATGCCAACATCTACAGTTTGTATCACAGCTTCTGAGGTTTCTGTGCCAACATCTACAGTTTCCATGCCAGCTTCTGATGTTCCTACACAAACGTCAACAGTTTCCTTTGTGGCAGCTTCAGAGGATTTTGGAGCATTTTTGACATTTTCTGTAATGATTGAATCAAAGCACTTACGTTCCAGATCAACAGAACTACCTTGATATTCTAATGGTTTAATTTCAAAGTTTACGATAGAATCTTCGGTATCACATTTCACTAACTGACTCCTAAATTCACTTTCAATAATGGGCATTAACATTTCAGTGTCTTTGCACAAATCATTTACCTCCTTAGACAAGACGTCACTTGATTTTGATTGTTTATCAATAGACAACAAGAGGACACTGGGATCAGAATGTGTTTTCGGAACATCAGAGGAATTCCTATCTACTGATGTTTCTTTTTCATATGCTGTTGTTATTTCCATCTGAGAAGATAAGTCAGAAAACATCTGTATCACCTCCAATAATTCATTTGATTTTGCTTCCTCTGATGTTTCTGTTACTGATAATGAAGATGATGGTTCTATTGTTGACAATTGTTTTGATGTTTCCAGAGGTTTAGATATTTCTAACTGCCCTTTATTAACTCCCTGAGATGCTTCTGTCTCTTTTCCTTTAGATAGATGAATCATTTCCTCATTGTCTGGAGTAATAATTTCCTCTAGAACTCCTGATAGGTCATGTGGATTATCTTTCACATCAAATATTTCAGCTGCTTCTTCCTTCATACAGTCTTCTGGTACAACTTTTGGTTTTTCGGATACTGCTTCCTCCTTTTCAGATTCTTCTATTGCCGATTCCTTAATAACAGATACTTCTTCATTAGTGACAAATACTTCTTCATTGGTAACAGATGCCGCTTCCTTGATAACAGATTGTTCTTCCTTGGTAACAGATTGTTCTTCCTTGGTCACAGATGATTTTTCCTTTGGAACAGATTGTTCTTCCTTTGTAACAGATTGTTCTTCCTTGGTAACAGATGGTTCTTCCTTGATAACAGATTGTTCTTCCTTGGAAGCATGTACTCCTTTCTTGATGGGAGACCTATGTTCCTTGGTGACAGACGCTTCCTCCTTGGTGACAGGTGATCCTTGCTTGATTGCAGTTGTTTCTTCCTTTGTGACAGAAAATCCTTCTTTACATACAGGTAGTTCTTTCATATCTTGGCTTGCAGATACAGATGCTACATCCTTTAAACCTGTAGAAGATCTTTTATTTCTGTTTTTAGATTTTCTATTTCTTTTTGAGGATTTTTTGGATGAACTTTCAGGACTTTCTAATAACTCTCGACAATCAATTTGAACATCCTTACCTTCAGTGTGAACATATTTACCTCCAGTTGGAATATCTGTACTTACAGTTGGAATATCTGTACTTTCAGTTAGAATATCTGTACTTTCAGTTAGAATATCTGTACTTTCAGTTGGAATATCCTTATTACCAGATTCAACATCTTTATTATCAATTGGAAAATCCTTATTTTCCGTTGGAATAGCCATTTTTTCTGTTAATGAGTTTTCTAATTTATTATCTATTTTTTTAACAATATCGTCTGCTACATCCTTTTTATTCACAGATTGCCCAGAATTTATTTCATAAACATCTTCAGTTCCTAAATTTGATGAGAAATTATCCTGAACATTTTCTGAATCACTTTTTAATATATCAGAATCACTAGAAATTTCCTGAGATTCAGTTTTAAATTCTGAGGAACTAGAAATAATTTGATCACTTGAGTCTATGTCACCTCCGTCACTACCATCTTTTAATTCCAAATCACAACCCTTTGAATTTACAATCACATCTGACGAAGGAGAATTCGCCTCCAAAGCAGTTGATGTTGTGTCTGATGTTTTTCTACGCTTGCTCTTTCCAGTTCCTTTCTCCTTAGATATCTCATCTTTTTCGCTGACATCTGTCTCAGAACTATCAAGTTTTCGTAAACTATTCTCCTTTTCGTCTCCATCTTCACTCAACTCGAGTGTGCGATCTTTTTTGTTCTTTTTTCGCTTCTTTCTGTCTCGTTTCCGTTTTTCTTTCTTTGCTAAGCTTTTATCTGTGTCTGTCCCCTTCGCTGTGGGTGTTGAGTTTATGGCCTCAGCGGCACCTGGCACCTTTCCATCTAGGTTTATTTTTTTATCTATATTTTTAGATTTTTTATCACTAAATTTAAAATCCATCGTTAATCTAGAATTTGAATTGTTTGAACTTGAGTTGGCACCATTATTAAGCAAGGCTCGTTTATCTTCAATGATTATTTCATCAGATTGTTCAGAGAATGAATTCTCACTTTTATCCTTCCGCCCCATGTCTATTTTATCACTGGATATATTTGCATTTGTGTCTATAGTCCTATTTATCAAGTCACTAGATATATGATCTACAGCATCATAGAATTCTTCACCAGGTATTTCTGTAACAATAGACAATTCTTCTGGTACCTGAAATTATACAAAAATAAAACTTAATCAAATACATGTAGCATAGAAGTGTTTTATCTCACAAAATTAACCAATTGAAAAGAATGAATTTATACCTCAAATGGATTAGTCAAGCTGAAAATATAAATGTGAATATTTAACTTGATTGTACAGGGCCTAGTACTGAGGAATGTGTGAAAGGAAAACATTTTAATTTTGTAAAAGCAATGAAATAAACTTGTGCAACAAAGTTCACAGTGATAATTTCGAAATCTTTGTTTGGAAGATCATTAGATCTCTTGAAATCGATTTCCAGGGCTATCGCCCACTCTGTCCACAGAAAATGACGTGGGCAGTGGATACTCTGAGAATTAATTAGGCTTCGAAATTTACGATAAATGGACAGTGATTAAAGACAACATCGTCTTGTATATGCAATCCATTCTCCTTGCTAGGTACCACGTCAGCAAGTCACGTGACACAAACATGGCTTCTTTTAATAGATATTTTATAGCAGGGGTATTCCCTCAGAAATACAATGTTTTGAGAAGGATTTGAAGCAAAATTTTGATAGATTAATTAGTTTGAATATGTTTTTAGTCCAAATATATCATCAAATCACCCAGTTTGTATGCAGGAAAGTATCTTTAACCCAGGTAAACAAAGCTACAAAATCTACCTGTATTAGAAACTTATCAAGATAATACCACTACAGAATATTAAAGCTCAAGGTCTTGACGATATTTGTTGTAAAATCTAGTTACTGTTATAACTCAATATATACATCCCATTAATAGAGAAGGTCTATTTCAACATCTAGGAAAACTGGAGACATTTTAAACTTTACATAACCGTTTTAGACAGTTAAAACACACACTAAGTCAGAACGATTAGAAAACTCCAGACCTATACACTCTTTACACTCCTTTATGTGGTCTCTTATATTTTTTCAAATATCCAAAACTTGAACAACTACCGGTATATTTATAATACTGTTCAGTACACAATTATACACTAGAAATACTTCAATACATGCTAAATGGTTAAAGTACATAATAAAACAAAGTGTATAATACCTGTGTTAACGAGAATACAGGTATACCTAGTCATGTTTATACATCTACTAAAACAATACAGGTCAGGTGAGTTTACCTGTATATGTGACTAGAAGTTAATTTGTGACTTTAGTTATTACTTCTGAATCATTTGCATTACACAAGCTATATATGTCTTACCAAATGAAATAAGTCTTAAAGACAGAGGTAGGTTGCCAGGCAATGAAACATATCCCCACAGATACGAGCAGTCCACAGAGGTTGTCACATATTCATTCATTTGTAGGTAAAGTGAGCATTCACAAGATACTAAAAACTAAAAGAATCCAGACATGACCCTAATAACATTTTTTAACTGTGCTATTGAATCCATTGCAAATGACATGGTATGCTTACTGTTCTATCAAACTTCTCATTTAATGGGGAAAATGAACAAATCTGTATAAGAGACAAAGAACAATATAACAATAAGTATATCAGGTCACTGTGTCTATGACTAGAAGTTAGTGCCACCCTACAGTTTGTTATTACCTGTCACCTGTATAAAGTGAATCATCAGCCAGTGGTTAGGACAGTCTGACTCATATAAACACCTATCTCTCCCCTTCTTTCACAAAAACATCTAATAAATAGTAACCAATGGCAACTAAAGATTTGTATCAAGTTCCATTTGATTTTGAGTTAGAACTGCTACTTGTATATTTAATATAGGTAAATGTTGTGTGGTAAAGGTGTGGTGTATACTATCTGTAACACCTATATGTACCGTATGTAAAATCATGTCTTCAAGCTACTCGTTACTTACAGTAGTTTATTCTTTATTTATAGAGGCCCTAAGGTTCACATCAATATACATAATATACCTTACAGTCCTTACAGATATCACTGATAATTATTTGTGACTTCCAGCCAAATAGTTCAACCTCCCCAATAATCCTTTTTTCCCACTGACTCACGAACCAAAGAACTTCAGTTTTTTCTTAAAGAGGTATTATGCAACAATTCTAGCTTCAAATGTTATATATCATCATTTAGACATTTATTCACATGACCAGCCAATAATCAAGTCTCTAGATCATTGGATGGCTTAGATACTGAGTAGATCAGCTGATGTCTGCAATATCTGCATCAAATGCTAAAAATGGCAAAATCCTAAAATGACTGGCCAAATCAAAATTTTTCGAATATCCAAAAAGTAACTTACAGAGACTGCCAAAATCTGTCAACAGAGTTATACATTCTTATATATTAAATATCTTATTTGAATTAAAAGTAATACAAATTTAATTGCATCCTCTGTCTGAAATATGATAAAAGTAGCCATTCATAACTTTGTCCAAAATAAAGTAATTTGATTGAAATGTTATACATATTAATTTTTTGAAAATATTATAGCAAGAATGGGCAGCTCTTTCTCTATAGCTCATATAATGCCTCTTTAATAAAGGCTTGGTCTTCTCACAGGTTAATCGTGATTCATTAATCAAATATCTTATTTATCAAAGGCTTACCATAAATTATAAGTAATGTTATTGAAAAATACCTATCAAGTAGACTAGTGTGTGACAGTTGTCCCTCTTTATCTAGTAATATCAATATATAGAGTATAATAAATTAGTGATAGAGAGACCATTATTTTAATCTTTCTGGGTTGGCCCATATACCTTGGTGGTTACTATATGCACTAAATTTAAAGTACACTGGAAATTGCTATAACATTAACATAATTACCAAATAAATGAGAAATGTTACCAGATGTTCTAGACTATTCAATTGAGCAATGTAAGTGTACCGGTAAGTGTCTGAGGTAGGAGCAAACCCACACAGTAAGGCAAGTAACCATCCACTTTGTCTTGTACAAGTCTGGGATTGAAACCATGCTCATGATGGACCTAAAAGTATGTTTTAGTGCACTCGGCCACCCAACCCCCATACATTTCGTTGTTTTTGTCTTTAAATCGTTTTTTTCCTGTGAGGCCCACCACGTAAAATCTGGAAGGAATTGATCCCAGTCCTGTATCTAGGTAGGTCAAAATTGGACAAATGTCCCAGCACCCTCTCATTTAGGGGGTCACCACATATTTTGGGCTTAGTACAAGATTAAAACTTCCATTGGATAACCTTAGATTTGAAAATGAGCTAAACTTATTCCAACAATTCTGACCTATCGGTTACTGGGTTATGGTCATTTGAATAATGACGGCCACGTCCATTTTGGCCGAAATCCCCCAAATTGGGTGGACCGTTTCTCAGGAACCATTAGTCCGTTCAAGCTAAAATTTGGAATATCAACTTTTTCAGCCCTAATAGGCATATAAAACAAATTTCAGCAAAATCGAAGGGGGTACGGTTCAGCTCATTGGGTGATAATATTGAGATGGTATGGGACAAGAATGGTTTTAACATATGTTAGAGACATTAGTAAAAACTATAACCCCACCAAGTTTCAGAATTTTAGGTGCTCATCTACCGGGTTCTATCGGCTCGAAAATACGAGGCAATTTTCAAACATTTGTGTCTGAAACCATACTCAGGGCCAATTTTCTGGGAATCTAGTGAAGACTGATATGTATTCATATGTTTCTTACTTAGTGCTAATTGCAATCTCTAGATTACTTTGTAGGTCCTGGAGCAATACAAAATCCAGAAAATTTACAATTACACCAAATTTTTTCGGGTTTTAATGGCCATGTAGCATGCGAACCCTACCACTCACCAGTAAGCTTTAAGACTACCAAATTTGAGCCCTATACCTTCACTAGAAAGGTAAGAACAAGATAACCAAAACTCAAGTAAATTATTGATACATATTTTGTTTCATTAATTTTCAAGCTACAGACCACAAATTTTGCACAATTTCCAGTTTTTACATGTATAATAACATGTATTTTTTCCAGATCTTTTCAAGGAGGGGGGAGGGGGGGCGATTTTCCAACTTTCTAAACTTGACCCACTTGACATGGAATAACCTAATTTCAACTTTGGCTTGAACTCTGCTGGTAGACATTTATATGTTTATAGTGCAATCAGTTTGTCAGGAAATGTGAGATCATTCATACATTAGGCTTTAAGGTTTGCTCTGAAATTCAGCCCATCCCCCTTAAATTGTCCAGGTCCCTTCAAAAGGTAAATCCGGCCATGTGTGATTTCCATGAAACCCAAAATTAATCCCTTACTCACCCATCATGCAGCTATTGCTCAACGACACCATTTAATACACCTACATGTATATACAGGTAGATCTTATAATCTAGTTATTGAAGTATTTAGGTCAGTGACAAAAGGAATATAAACTGTTATACACAGCTCATTAATTACCTCATCAATTCATATGTGATTATTATCTCCAATTACTTTCATCGTTTATTTTAATTAATTCATGATCACTAAAACAGATCACCTTTCTTCTACCACTACATGTAAGTACACACTTATTATCTAATTAGTTATTTTTAAGGATATACTAATCCTATACAGATAATTAGGTCATATATATTAAATCAACCACATGGACACTTTTATTTATTAGTCAATGTTGATGTAGTCTTCTGAACATATATAATTTGTCCATATAGCAGTAAACATACACTAATATATAACCACACAGACATTATTTGATTGAACAAAGATTTTCACTTTTAATTATACAGAATCTATCACTGTTTGAACATGACATATATTTCATAATCATTTTCAGTATTAAGTATCACCTTATGGTGATGTTATTTTATTGTTTACATAAAGTAGAACACCACACCCCAGCTGAACTTTAACAATATCAGATATTATCATATACACCTGGTTGTGTTTGAACGTGGAATTTTGCCAAGGTCATACACCCTTAATCATTTGGATACAATCATAGATTTGAGATATATCACACCTGCCTCACATAATGTAACATCCATGATCGTCAGGTGAAATTCAACATTTCTGGCAAACTTCTCGCAGCTTGATCCAGACAAA